ACACTTCTGCCGGACTGGCAATGCAGAAAAGATAGACCAGCAGCTGTCTATTATGGACATAGAATGACATCATCACATTGAAAAAGGCCTGCACACATGGATAAATGCTACTAAACAGAGATGCACAATGAAAAGGCATTTGTGGAATTTGCAGACTACTTGTGGTCTCAATTCAGGCCCTTTGGCCCGGTGCCCTTCAGCCGCCCTGTGGTCCGCTCTGTCCTCACTGCTTTGTCCCCCCTGATGGAAACCAGACAGCCAGACAAAACACACAACTGACCAGCAGCTGCATGCTCCAGCCAGCATGATTGGGGTCTGTAATTAAATGACCACTATTTCTCCCAGGAATTAAGACCGGTCCATCCCTTAATGTAATACATGCTTTAAAATGTGATTCGGATTTTTGGTGTCATGTTCTACAATGCACTCTTTATAAAGGGTTTCTGAGTTGTAAATGATGTAATAAATGCATGCACTAAGCAGTTGTACGCTAGGCTATTTTATGGGTTGTCAGGTTGTGAAAAATCCCCACAAATGTGCCCTTTATTTAAGGCAGTTGGTAATCCATAAGTAAATGATCTGCAGCGTTTCTCATAACGAAATGTTTTCTTTAACACCCTTAATAAACGCTGTAAATGCATGTTTTTCCACTCACTCTGCAGCCCGCGGTGGCCCACGTTGGGTGCAGCACTCCTGTTGCCCAGCAGCTCATATCTGAAGCCCATGGTGCGTCTGCTCCAGGCTCCGTCACTCTGCGGGCCGGACTGGAGGTAGATGGCGGGTCTGTGTGGACCATCAGCCCGAAAACAGTACACCTGATGCCGGGGCCGCCTGCCCTCGGTCACCAGCAGCTCCAGCTCCCCGGCCCGCTCGATGAACACGCTGGCTCCGCGGAGAGAGGGGGACGGCTTGATGCAGACGATGGTGCGCCGGGCTGAGGACAGGTTGGGCTCCAGGACCACCCGGAGAGCCTGGCCCGGGTAAACCCACATCACCGAGCCTTCTGTACAGCGCAGCCGCACCTGGAGAACAATCCTCGAGTCCACACCAGCTGCAAATCCGCTGGATCAGAGGGAAACCGAGGAATAGATTATCAATATGAAAAAAGTTTCATTCAAATGACTGCATTGACTAGGCCTACATTGTGTTTGGCATCATTAATGGTTACTAAATAATTGCTGCTTTAAAGATAATTTACAAAACACAAGAACACTTAGTTGTAGATTGTAGAGCATGCCATGCTGGTGTTTAGTCGTCCTTGTTGATACAGTTGTAAATGTTACAATTCAATAATAAATAATCACATGTTTCTTGCTGTCTAATACGAATTACATTTGCAGAATCAAAGTTAGGTCATTAATGACATTTGTTAAACACAACATCTATAACGCAAAATGTGTTTTTATTAATGCATTGTAATGGTTTAACAAAGCCTGTGTAGGCCTAAATAATTCCTCAAGATTGGTTAAACCATGCACCACATTTAAATGCCCCAGCTGTTTTCCCGCTTTAAAACGCAATAGACTCGCAGAAAACGAGAGAAAGTTCCTTACCTTCCAGTCCAGTTGCACAGATCAGCCGAACAGTGCCGTAGCTGAAGTCCCAGCATACACATCAGAATAATCACATTTGGCAACATCTCATCCGTATAAGAAACAACAATCTAGACAGAATTGGACGGCAGAGCATGGCTAGAAAGTTTGTTTGTGAGTTATCCAGAGTACAAGCGCTCTGCTGCGACGCTTGACTCAGCTTCACAATATGTTCACTCTCTCTCTACACACACCTCTCTCTCTCTCTCCTCTCTCTCTCCTCTCTCTCTCTCTCTCTCTCTCTCTCTCTCTCTCTATCTCTCTCTCTCTCTCTCTCTCTATCTCTCTATCTCTCTCTCTCTCTCTCTCTCTCTCTCTCTCTCTCTCTCTCTCTCTCTCTCTCTCTCTCTAATTAGGGCTGATACAGTTGTTGGGGGACTCTGCAGGTCTTTGTCTTTGCTCTCTAAAGACACGCTCAGGGTGAAAGCCTTATTGTTAACATCAGTGCGCCACTCTGCACAATCATGCATCCTCTTCTGAGAGGCTCTCTGCGGGTTAGTTTTAGGTTGGCTATCCGACAGACATTCATCCCTGGTGCAGCGGTGTCTTGCAGGGTTTAACTTAGTAACCATTCATTTATCAACGTTTAAATGAGACAAAAGCGATTTATTTTAATAACTTGCCCAAATTAGTTTTAGGAAACTGCATAATTTCCAATTGGGTATGGCTGGAGGTGGGCTGAAACTAATCCAAAACATAAAAGGGTTTGGAATAACATCATCATGGGTGACTTTGGAATAACATTTCATTGAATAGGAAAATAGTTTATAAAATCTAAACTTTTCAGTTAAAAAGGGCAGAATTTTCCGAACAATATGTACATGGAATAAAGTTATCTATAATCCAATAAAAAAGAGATGTGTCTTATTTGTCCAGTGTGGTTAGACAATGCTGCATTGATTTGGAGTCACTGGGTCACATGACATTGAAGCTAATGATGTCTGAATAATAGAAGAATAATAGAAGGACTTTAATCCAATAAGAGGTGTGTCTTAATTGTCAAGTACAGTGTTGTATTGATTTGGAGTCAACATGGTTATGACATAATAAGCTTTTGACAATTAAATAAATAATCTTTTTTTTTCAAACGCACCGTGCCATAGGGTGTCGCTGCTTTATTACCTTGGGCACAGGTACATAAGGTGTGTCAGGTCACATGACCGGAAGTTCATAATGGTTTTCGACCGCCGTGGCGCGAGTGTTTTAAGTACCCATGATTGTTTGGCCGGGCAATGAATTGAATAGTGATGGGCTCTGACGGGAGTTAAAAAAACAAAACACGAAGCACTGGTTGAGTTAATTTAGGCCTTGTAACTGATTCACCAGCACTTACTACGGTATGATCTTGCTTGAAGTGAATATAGGCTATCTGCACTTTCCTTGTTGTTCGGAGTTTGATTCTTTATGGTTATTGCGCTTATACAAGCATCAGCCAAATGATATGTAATGTAAAACACCACAGAGCTAAGGCCAACGCTCCTGCAATATTATTGCATTGATTTGGGGTGACGGGTCTTGGTCACATAACATGGAAGCTATATAGAGACTTTACATACATAAATAAAAAAGAAAGAATCATAAACCATTTGCTAAAGGAATAATTCAATGAAAATAAATGTGTTTTATTTATAATAAAATATGGTATTGGATTTGGAATCATGGTCAAATTACCCTCACTTGATCACATCACAAAGAAGCTCTCTTCTCTTCTATTCAAAAATGTGTGTAAAATCATAACATTGTAACATGGCTGTGACATAAGAGTAATTAATCAATTGTGTATGCATTCCCTATAGTTAGCCCATCTTAAATGAAATTGGGAGGGGTGTATCTGAGTTTGAGCGTCATCTAGTGGCGGGATGATGTAACGCACACTGCCCTCACTGGAGGTCTGCTGCTTTCTTCGGGAGGGGGCTGTAACTCAACAGCCACTAATACTGTACATGAGTACAAACGATACAAGATTTCACCAATGATTAATCCTCTGTGGATGAGTGGTTCCACTTCATTTTAACTCGCAGGGTCTTTGTGGGAAAATAATTTGGCAGAGTTTCAAGGTCTTGCTGCTGGCGACATCTTGTGGAGGTAAAGTCTGTGGAGTGTAACCAGACAGGCCTCTCGAGGTTTGCATCCAGTTTATAAGGGCCCTCAGGCAGAATCAGATCAAAGGGTTTGGATTCTTGATGGGTAGCCGGGTAGCCATGTCGTTGAGTAAATTACACTCAGGTGGAGAATCTGGCAGGATGTTGTCACAGCTGCAGGACCAGTTTTGCTACTCTAGCCACTAAATCTAGGAGTTTGGATGATATTGAACGTGTTATACATGTTAGCGCACGCAGAACATGACAAGATATACTTTAGACATAGTTTGCGAAGTTGCATTATTTTTGTTCCATGAATTTGCGTCAAAATGTGTTCCTATAAAAGCAATGCTCCACCCCCTTTTTTTCATCAAATTCAGATGTTCCTATATATAAACAAATTAAACATTTAAAAAGAGCCTTTGGTGAGACAGAATACAGACGGAGTTTCCTCACAGGAGTCCCGGATGGTCAGATTGGGTCATGTGTCCTCTGCAGAGACAAAGCGAAGTCAAATGAATGGAGGCTTTGTGCATGAAAGAAGTGGCCTCTTATCAGCGGAGTACAGCCTGGATGCTTCATGTACTGTAAAAGCCTGATGGAGCAAGGTGATGCAAGTTAATGGGATAAATAACGGCCTACACCACAGTGTAACGCCCTAAAAAAAGAGGAACCGTTCAAACCATAAACCTCCGTTCACTCAACTCGACACGGGGTCACATAGGAAACTCCTCTTGTAATTCTTTCTCACAGTTATGTGCAAATTAAATGACTCATTGATACTATTCCTATTAAAATCATTATAGCATCAGAGTGTTTCAATTAAAGCTGTCAAAAACGTCTTGTTCTTGTACTGGCTGTCAGCTTCAAGGCCCAACTCGCCCTTTTGAAGTATGCGTAATTTGACCACTTACAATAATCGACATGGTGGTGATGATAATGTTGCAGGGAATAAAGCTATAATATGCTTATCAGCTTCAATCGGTAATCAAGTACACCAAGGTTAGACAGGCTCTGATATTTATGTTTTTTCTGATTATGATAAAAGGCGTTTAAATGATGGAAAAAATAACATATTTGGGATTTCTTGAATTTGAGATAAGGCCCGTGTAGTTTGAAGGGAACCGGTTGGGTCTTAATTTGTTTTTAGGTAGGCCTAGTTGCATGTGACCAGGAGGCCAAAGTAGACTACACCTGAATAGTCTATTTTTGTTTATCCAAAGTACAATCAAGTTTAGTAGGCTATGTCTTCTGTTTACCAAAAAGAGGTTAACTTTCTCATCAGAGAATCTTCAAACAGAAAAGCCATCACAAAAGACGTCATCCAGCAGGATAATAAAACATTTTAATATGACGCATGGTAATCTATTTAGGTGTTATATATTTCAATCTTTTGAAGTACTGCAGCTTACACAAATTCATATAATACCTTTAGATATATTGAAACCTCCTTTTCAGAACCATGTTAGACTCAAGTGGCCTTGGTTTAAACATGTGAATGACTGGAAAGTATTTCATTTCAGACACACCTTCAGTAAATCTTCATTAAAGCGTTTTAAACTAAATCTCGTAATGAGGGAACACTGTCAGAATCAATAACCGGATGCGTTTATAAGCAAAATCGGGTTCTAGAAAGTTATGGTTATTTATGATGACATTGTTGAAACGTTTTTCTTTAAAAACAATTTTTTTTTAAAAACACTCAAAAACAATACACTCACAAGGACACTTTGATTTTTGATTTTCTCAGCAGTGTATTAAATATTTGTATGTACACGGTTGAAAGTTACATAGAAAAAATATATAGCATTGCAGTAGGCTTGTTAGTTAGTAGCTTGTTAAACTATTATGCTTTTTTTTTTGTTTGACCCACATCCGAGCTACTCATCTCTTCTCTCTGAAAAAGCCTTTCTCCGTGCTGCTCTCTCTGACAGTGACTGTCAATAAATTCATGGTGACATCTGTCACGGTCATAGTGTCCAGGTTGGTCAATCTGGGGGTCCAGCACGAGGCTGGTCGCGTGGCCTTGTCATTGTTCTCAGTGGATCTGACAGCAGGTTGACTGCACGCCTTCACCTGATGCTTCGGATGCTCTGCAGAGCTGCTGGGCCGCCGCACAGACATCAAATATTTAGTCATGTGTTTCAACTGATCCCTTTTACACACATCTGGATTGAACGCGCTGAAAGACAACCCTGCGTGTCTCTGCTCGCTGCTGCTGTGTTTGGGTGTGATGGTGGTCTTCTCCTCAAACCTCCGTGTCAGCTGCATGAGACTGTGATCTGACGCCTCCCCGTGATGAAGCAAGTGGCGTGACATGTTGGAAAATCCGTGTGACACCGGCTCCTCGAGTGACCTGCTCCGTTTGGTGTCCGGCTCTGCTGAGAGGCCTCCATCGACTGTTTCATTGAAATGTAAATGCAGCTTCGGTTTGCGCCCTCTCTTTTTAGGTATCCGGACGCCTTCTAGGTCTGTCAGAGCAGCTGATGGAGTCAGTCTTGGCCTCCTCTCTGGCTCCGGTGGTCGGATTTGGACACTTTCCCCTCTGTTGACTGCGCTCGGTGGGAAGATTGTGGGAACCACGGTACGTAAACCCTCCCGGGCCCTGGGAGTTATGACAGGCTCCAGGGTTGGATAGGAAACCTGGATCGCTCTGGGAGCCTCTCTTCTAAATTCATACGTCTTTTCTTTGGCTTTGGCCTGAGGACAGAGCATATAACGTTTATGAGAGGAGTTTACCAGAGATTAAATGTTGATATCTCCTGGGGAAATGTAAAAGTTTAAGAGAAGCAGCTGCACCCTGTATATACGAGCGTTAAGGCCTCGTCCCTAAAGCTGCTTGTTTTTTTAGGGATGTCAAATACATATACATTTCTATAATATAAAAGGATGTTTTAAATGTAAAAGCACTATAGCTCAACCTCATTAAAATCACTGGGGGAATCACAAGTTATTCTTAGCTCGCATATCTCACAGTAGGCATATAAGCAATATTTTATGGATCACAAAAAAGTTTCAAACTCGATAAGGTTTTAACTTTCATGAAATCGAAATGAATCATATCATCTCACATTAGAAAGGCGAAAAGATAACATGAAAAACCAAGAAATACATCACATGATTTACCCACCTTCAAGAGAAATGTCTCAGGTTTGGGTCCCCTCTTCTTCGGCCCAAACAGCTCCCTTTCGCGCTCCCTGATAAAGAAAATCCCGATTCATCACAGATTAACAAATATATTTAGGCTACATGTTTTATTTGGACTAGGCTATAATAAAATCGGGAAATCTCTTTTCTCACAAGTGCCATTTACTCATGCTTTGATTTAATCGTATTTTTAAACGTTTTTTAAATTAGAAATACGTTATAAATTAGATAAAATCATGTCAGAGTAAAGCAGATATCCCGCTTATGATAAGAAAATGACAATGCATTGCAACAATCTGATTTGGAAATGGAATGACTTCGCTCCAACGACGCTTGTTGTCACTTTCTTTACTAGAAAAAAGTTTGCGAGATCCAAATAGACAAAAAGTCGGATTTAAATGGGCATGTTTGCGGTACAAAATGCACGGTGCTGTCTCCTGTCTGCAGAGAGGCCTATGCTGCGCTGTCAAACCCTCACCTCTCCTCAAAAGCTGCGAACAGACGTGCATCCAGAATGTTTTCCTCCGGCTCCCAGGTGCTGTACCTGTGTCCCAAACACAAGGAGACACATATCTTAGACAGATCTTCTCCAATCACACCGCTGCGTTACACTTTAACAAAGCGATCTTGCTGCTTGCGCTACAATTACAGACTACGTAGCGGACAGTGACGCATGGTGATCCCAGCCATTGCTAAAGCTACTTTAATGCATCCCAGCGGGCTTACGCTCAGACCTCTACAGCCCCATGAGCCACCAGACATATAACAGACTGCGCTTCAACACATGGAGCAGATGATATGATAAGAAACGAGCTGTATAAACAACATGTCTGAGGTGTTGCAGTTATACGAGCGGCCAGAATGGAGCGCTGTCCTTCACAGCCTCGGCTACAATACTCACTTCTGAGACCAGCCCTTCCATTTCACCAGATATTCCCAGCAACCCTGCAAAAACAGATCCGTAATACATGCAGGGTTATCAAAGCATTGATTATGAGCGGCGGACAAACAAATGGTTGCGTAATGTGGAGACAGCCTGTGGGCGAAAAGCAGTGATTACCCGTCGGATTCTCCGTTTGAGGATGGACTCGGCTGCGAAGACGCTCTCACCGACAGCAGAGAGCTCCATGATTCACCATGCACCTCGTTTATTTCTGTCTCTTTTATTATTTTTGGCTTGTCCTCTTCTGGTTGTTTAATTCCGCACACCCCATAATACGCAATCTGAAGAGGACGTCATCACGTCTTTTTCTGTTGCCAGGCACCGCAGTCGGTAGGACGGATCGCACATTGGCTCGGTTGTTGCTACGTGCTCCGGTTTCTGAGTGAGGGGGAGGAGCCCCGCTGCTCGGCTGCTGTAATGGAATGTCTGGCACGGGGGGGCAAGCGAAGTCAGAGAGATCCACCGAGCACCTAGGGGTCCAGAGTCCAAATGAAAATATAAAAAATGTGTAGTTTCACTTGCATTTAAAGAAAGAACCGAAAAAAGGAAATAAAAGAAACGAGACAAGAGAATTACTGGTGTAATACAGTGGCTGATCCTCATCCAATACACATTTATGTAAACATCAGTATGTGTAAAATCATAAATAAATTAACAATACAATTCTACTGACTAATATCAGAAATACAAATTCCCATATTTAATGTTTGTCTGATGGCATCCTAAACGTTCAAATAGCAGCCCCATTTAAGGAATTTTGAAAAACCCCTTGATTTTGATTCATCCATATGAATGATTATTTAAAAAAAGATTTGATAATTAGGTGACAAACTGCAAAGCTGTTTATGTCCAGTTCCTTTTTTCCAATCAAACGATATTTAAAATTACTATGTAATACCATAATGTGCGTGCGGACTTTTGCACTTTCATGTTTTACGCAGCACACAATAATTCACTCAGTAGCACATAAGGATTGCGATGATCAAATAAAGACCAAACAGACACCCAAAAAAAGCAAATGATGATTTCAGTCGATTGGTTTTAAATGTAAGTTCCATAGGGTATTTCTTTTAGGCATATTGCACGTTAACCGTAAGGGAAATTCGGTTTATTTAGAATAAATTATTGAATGATTTTTGAAGACCAACCAAATTAAATGAAAAGCAAATATAGTCCATAAGGACCTCATTAATATCGTTTCTTAACTCAAAAACATGCAGAATATTCACAGTCATAATTTATATAAATACATTTTCTTCTGAAGGACTAAAGGACATTATAATAATTCCTGGATGAATGTTGATTCTTTGAATTTATTTGGTAAACTGGACTCCAAAAGGGATTTCCCTACAAAGTTTGGCAACATTTAAATGACATATTAAACCCGACGAAATTTAGAGTGAAATAAGTGGATCAATGTTTTGTGCATCCAAATACAATTTATAAAAGGATCGTTTGTTTTAATATAATTACATTTTTATTCTGTTTTGTATAAATATGTTGAGGGCCTGTAATTGATTTTGATAATTATTTTGGTGACGTCAGTAGTAGTAATACTTTGTTCGGGAACATTAGTGTCATTGTTTATATTATTGTTATTATTGTTATTATTATTGTTATTATTATCACTGTTAAAATTATTTAAAATTATAAAATGCTAATAATATTATTATTGATTTTCTTAAAATTATTAATTACAAATGTTATGTTTTTTTTACTTCTTGTTTGAAGCTGTTGCCTATCTAAAAAATAAAACGAAGCATTTATATTTTGATTGAACACAAAACGTTTGTTAGTCTGCATTCGGTAGCATATTATTATTTGTATTATTATGTTAATATTGAACGACAAAATCGATGGTGAAGAAAACCTTAACTCAAAATAATAATCGCATAAATAAAACCACATTGTTTAACGGAATAAACTGCCAACTGCAGCTTCATCTTTTTAGGCCTCAGGTGCAATTATCATTATTGGTCAGCTATTCATTCTAAATGAAAATAGTAAAACAATTCTACCAACACATTTCGACCAAATCAAACATTTTCCCCAAGATAAACATGGACGTATAATAATCGTGCAGTCTTTCTCATGCCAAAGCCTCAGGTCCTCCACATTACCATCTTCTGAACGGAAGGTCATATAGATAACACAAATAATAAGCAGAAAGAAACATTGGCACAATACTGTATTATTTCATTTTCAGGTTTTTATTCCCGTTGTCTTCCCTTTTTTCCCATGTCTGTCAATTTAAAATGAATACCAACAATCATGCAGACTGCGCAGTATGAGCAGTCCTGTGAGATTTCAAACATGTAATGAATAAAGAAGGGTGACATTGTATCTGGTATCAACCACCAAAGCCTTTTTTTGTTGATGTTGTGGGCCAGAATTTTCCACTGACCCTGACGGACAACACAAGATTTGCCACTGTGGCGATTTTAAAAGACCTGGCAGCTTCCCCATGACGCATGCAACCTAAATGTGACTTTATAAAAAACAAAAGTGCAGTTAATTCACACTCATTTGCCACACAAATTAAGAATGATTAACATACAGTCTACAAATGCATTTCTCTACATTTATTCTTGATCTGTGCTTATCCTCATGTTGTTCAAACTATAACATCCTTCAAATGTCCCCTTGATGACGCACATGTATAAAGATACACAGGTGTTTTAATTGGTTAGGATTATATTTGAGGTTAATTAGAAGTGGAGTCATTTCCTGCAGATGTGTGAAAGGTAATCGCAACATGAGCAGGGAGGCGGTCTGTCGTTCATCCGTCTTCGTTCTCGATCAAGTTAAAGATACAGCAAGATATTTGCTGCTATCTGTTTAAATTCTCCCCGCAATGGAGGAGACAAAGGCGGGTGCGCTGCGGACAAAAGATGCGTTGTGGCTGCCGTCGAAATATGAACCACCATTTTGATAGTCACAGCCTGTAGACCGACATTTCCTGTCGGTAGACTGCTATAATGGCTCTGCACCGTTTGTGTTCAGAGAGATAGCGGCTGGTGCGCGCTCAGAGCAGGCAGCCTCCATATTTGGCTGCGTGTCGATGAAAAGTGAGTCTGCGGGAACCGCAATGGCGACAGCCGTACATGAATAAACAGTGCTGGCTCTGTGAGAACATTATTGGCTCTCTGGTTTCTGGGCAACTGCTGCACACAGCTCGCTGTTACTTTACCGGGCGACATTTTCTGCTGAAGGTGGCTCACACACAAACCACAAGCGAGAAACTGTGAAGCCATATTTCAGCGCATGCTTTGAATTAGAAAGCATCATTTACAGCAGCCTGATATGCTGCACCACACCACAGCTCCAGCTCTCATTTCTCACACTATACCTATTTTAGGTTGCCTCTATTCGTGTTCAACATGATGTTCTACAATCTAGAATGATAAACAATGCAAGATCCAATCTCGATTGTTTTATGTGTTTAAAAAGAAAACCCAAGAAGGCAACAAATAATGACTCGAAGCACGTTCCTTTTTTGAAAACAACACAAAATATGTATCTATCTGAATCTAAGTCTAGTGAGCAACAGGCCTCCTCCGGGTCACACACTGAGCTTTAAATGATCCAAACGATCCTTTTGCTGACATGATCCTGTGAGGCTGCACTGTGCGGGATGAAACCGACACTGCAGGCTGCTGGTGGCCACGATGATAAAGGGGGAATGTGAAACATCACACTTGGTCTATAAATATGTTCCCCTGCTCAACGGTGTTTCAGTTTCCTACGGATGCATGACTGACTCGCATGCTTCAAAGCCATGAAAGGCCTACAGAGAGCCTTCACAGAGAGAGACAGAAACACGCGAGCTGTGTGTGTTCATGACATTTCAAAGTCGCTTATATCAACTGATATAGACTGAGTTTCGCAATTGAGAAAATGTGCTCTGTCATGCGTGTCCTTGGTTGCCAATGCCATTCATAGACAATCCCCTGTGCCTGTTTGCATTAATCGATTAGTTGTCATATTTTTGCCCTTTTCAGACCCCTAAACTCACACAACAAATAACAACGAACACATTATTTATTATGTTACTAAAATATTCATTTATAAAGAGGCAACACTCGGCCATTTTTGATAAATTAACCCCTTAATTTCCTTCTTGCGGGTTATTCTATACATTTCCAACACGAGATCAGAGCGGTAGAGGAGATGAAATGCGTGGGAAGGAGTTTTGGGACAAATATCCAAATTAGGTAAATTATTTAGGTAAAAAATGCTTCCTAATCCATGAGATCCCCATGGCGTATCTGTAAATGTGTTGAGTTGGGTTACCATTGCCTGTAGCCTATACCATGGCCTTTTTAAGATTTAGATATCATTTTCTGACTCTTCCTTAATGTTTATGTGACATGACTCTAACCTGGCAACACAATCAAGACCACACAAGAGTTCAGAGAGAACGTTTATTTATTGTCTAAATAGGTGGTGGAAATAATGTAAAATGAAGGTATCCTTAATTTATTTTCATCAGATTTAAGGAATGTATACACGAACACTGATTACCAATGTTTCTGTTTGTGTCACATTCTTTGATAGGAAACTCCCATGACTAAAATAAAGAACACACACACACACACACACACACACACACACACACACACACACACACACACACACACACACACACACACACACACACACACACACACACACACACACACACACACACACACACACACACACACACACACACACACACACACACACACACACACACACACACACTCCCAGGCCTTTTATCACTCAATACATTCAAGGGTTAATCTCTTTACATGGCTTGAGATTCCAGTATATCAACAACAACTAAATCTGCTTACACATCCAGATCAGAGTGCTGGCTACAGGCCTTTTAATGATTCAAGGCAGTTTTATTTATACAGTATAGCTAAAAATCACAAATTAGATATTTGGGCTTCAAAATGTGTACAGTATAGGACACCCTCTCGTTAGATTAAAGCTGTGGAAAGGAAAACTCTCCTGCCGAGCCAGAATATAAACCTTTAACAGGGAAAAATTGAAGAATCATCAGAAAGAGTAAGAGATTCCTCTCATTTGACAGACAGCCCTGCATTAGATGCCCTACTATCAGAATTATCAACATAATACAATTGAAAGACAATACTGACATGACAAGACTGAGGCAGCATTTGGCGATGTATTGAAAAGTCAGACATGCACAAATGTGTATCTGAAGCTTTGCATTTGTGAAGAATGTGTCTTTATGAGTCTGAACTTGCCTCTACATTTTACCGTATGATAATAATGTAGTGAGAATTGCTGTGTCATTGTGGGGCGGCCTTTTACGAGCCAACACAGCTCTTTAAAACAAGTTACACAATGTTGTGCCATGAACACATTATATTTAAATGTCATAATTGACGCCTATAACTGTCACATTGGGCTGGAAGGCACTCAAGCTTATAAATCATGTGACGGCTGAATACTTGCCCTCCATGACGCCTTTCTTCTTGATAGAATCTAAGAATTACATAACACACTTCCCTCTATGTTGTGTGTTTACATTCCTGCTCGGGGTCGAGCTGCAGTAGAAAAATAATGCATGGTTAAAGTTTTAATAATACAAGTGGCCGGTGCAGTTATGCAATACAGAGAAGCCTTTGTGCAGGGTCGTTTGTGATTATGCAACACAATCTGTTTTTCTATTCATGGTTCACAACCACGTTTCTAGTGTTTATTGTTCCATTCTTTGTCAGTATGAGCAAAAAGACTTCATAACAACGGATAGATAAGTCTTTCACTGGAACACTAGAAAAACAGTATAAAAAGGTTATTTTAGTGCATTCAATATATCAACATCAACCAAATATTTAACACAACAACAAATCAGGTAATTTATTTTGTCTTTATTGTGAAACATCCAAAAGGTTGTGCCAACAGCAATAACTCAACCAACTTGTGGTAGAACTTACTTCATATCAATCATCCTGATTTTAAACCAAGTGCCAGAAAGAATGATCAAAATAAAGTAAAAGATATAAAAGTAGCAAATAGATGCAAAATATCTTCTGAATGGTTCAGTGGAATCACTGTTCACTTCTGATGCAGAGAGCATCATTGTAGTTGTTAACAAATTAAATGTTATTAAATAGGCTTCATTTTTTTACATTATAGCATTTTAGCATTCTTACTGTTCTGCATTAAACGTGCGAAGAAGGCAATTTCGACTCAAATGTAGGTTACATCCAACAGCTTTGACATTTGAATTTTCAGCAGCATAATCAAAACAGCCGGCACTCATTGGCAGGCAGCCTCACAACTCACATGTATTCCATGTAACATACTCATCAATGACCCTGGTTGGTAGCTCTTTCTAATTTAAATAGTAGTAATGTATTTTTTATAGATAATATGAGTTTCCAAAGCTAAATTAGATGAATATCGCTACTCTGTGTGAGATTAGAAGACTCCTAATGAGATTACCACATGTATTTCCAAAGTAACTCCATCACTGCGAGGTCAACAGAAAGGAAGGAAAACAGAATCTATTCAAGGTAACAATTGACAAGTCAGTTTAACGGAAAAGTCTCAAGTTTGATAAATGACACCGTTTTCTTAATGTTTGAGATGTCACATTTGATTCCATTCATGTTTGATAAAGGTGAAATGTGCAACAAAGTAATAGATTGGGTTGCAACAGCATATTCACTGACAGCTTTGTTGCATCTAAACGGCAGGATACAACCTGACAAAACAAGAATATACCGGAGCATTTCTAAAAAGTTGTTTACACAGCGGTGTGTGTGTTTACAATGTATTCAGACACACTTACCGTTTAAATTTGCATGTCAAGTCATGGCTAATCATGTTTTCACAAACAAAACATGTCAAAAGTATGCCAATTAAATTTGAGGGTACTTAAAAAAAGTTAAATAAGACTTAAAGAGAGCAGCGGTTTCTTCACTTGTAATGACACAAACCAACATATGAATATGTAATTAAGTGCTTTCAATTTGATCCCTATATACTCAACAACATCCTCTACCTTCTATCAGGACCAAAATAAGTGATATTATTCATACAAAATTATGTTTAAACCTTCATACATCTCAGGTTATAAGTTTGGTACAGGTATGAAACGACAGCAAAAGTATTCCATTAAGCTTGATATGACAAATAAACAGTATATTTTTTAAAGTGGAACACATCCACCTGAATGCATTCGCTCAAATCCTCGAGGGCACTTTCTTGACTACGACGTCACAGAGGAGTTACAGTATAAAACATTATAAGAAACATATTTAATTTGAATTATAAATTATACATTTTCACATATACAAAATTTAGATGTTTTTACAAATGTACATATTCACATGATCCAATCGAGTGAGTCCCATTTAAGGTTTCTTAAAAAGAAACATATTCCTTGAAGGTGACGGTTAGACTGTTCGTTGTAATGTCCGTGATTATGATATTTCCCATAAAAGGGGAGACTTTTTTAACAGGTGCTTCTTTACATTTCTCTGTGGATTTCTGTGTTTCTTCTACCACAGGAGGTGTGTTTGTGACAGCAGGTTCAGGCTCCGGATGGATTTCCGGCTCCACCTGCGTTTTAGTCTTTGGGCAGCTGAGATCCATCGGCTCCTCTTGGCTGTCCACAACCTCAAACGTACATGTGCTGCTGTGGCGGGGGCCGCTACAGTGGAGGTCCATAGGTTTGTCCTGAGGTGGTGTGACAACAGTGCTGGGCACGCTGAAGCTTCTGGAAGACAGGTACGTTTTGGAGACGCTCCTGTCCTCCACAGGATCTGATAGCTTTCGCTTGCGGTCGTTAGGAAAAGAAGGGATCCTGATGGTCTCGACGGATGTAGGGGTCAGGATATTGGAGTCAACAGACCAGGAAGTCAGTGGCGAGCTAGCAGTCAACTGGAGAGGCAGATCCTCCGGTAAATCAGCCTGACCGCGAGCCACTTCAGTGTTGTATTCCTCTGCTGTGCTCGGAGAAGGTTTGGAGAAATGTCTGTCCTTGTGGGAACACTTAATGGGATGCTCTGCAGCTGGGAGGGAGCTGCCGTTGCAGAGCTCTTTGGGGATCCCATTCTCAGGGTGCTCCACTATTTTGGTTGTGTGTGCTGGATTGTTTTCTGACGGTTTGGCGTTTTGGAGTTTCACTTCGCTCGACGATTCCCCGTGTTTACCCTTTGCTCCGTTAACCTTGCCGTCCATATATTTGCTCATGACAATAACAATACGTCCATTTTTGTTTTTATTCTTGATTATCTTCATTTTGCTGCTAATAGAGCTAGGCAGCGTTGCATCTTTAGGATTGGGTTTAAGGGCATGTTCGCTCTCAGCGTCTTTTACAGCGGGTTTCCTCACCTCCACTGCCAGCTCTTTGACTTTGCTCAAGCAGCCTGTGTCCTTGTCTCTAATCCATTTCTGCTGCAGGGCCAGCGGTAAGTTCCAGCCAGGATTTGCCGGTTTACTGGCCGGTTCCTGAACTTTGACCACCTCTTTGAGCCTGGAAGCCTGTGCCTCGTACATGTTGGGGTCAGGCTCATAGTGGTGGTGCTTCTTGCTGTTGAGCTGGTAGATGAACTTCTTCTTGCCGTTGATTGGCTGATCAGCGGGAACCTCGTGGCTGCTGGGCTGGTACTGATGGTGCTTCTTGCTGTTGAGCTGGTATTGCTGAACTTGGGGACGCTGGACCGGGATGGGATCGGACTTGAGGCTAACCTCGGCGTCCTGAGATGAATCCGTGAAACCTGCAGGGATACAGGATCTCCTGGCAAATGACGGTACCTAAAAAAGAGACAAACACCAAGTTTAACATTTGAAATGTTGTTGTCATATGATCAGCAAAATTAATAAAAACCCAAGAAAAACGACAGGAATTCTTGGATCTCTTAAATTAATCATTTGATTTAAACAAATGTGTATAATAGGGACATTTTGGGGTTAAAAAACAAAACATGACCGATCAAAAAAAGCAACAGTGGCCTGATTTAAGTGAATAGTAAATATCAAGTACCATAAAAACAGATCACTCATTTACTATAATACAACTACTTGCCTAAATACATTTGACCCTCCCTGCCTGGCATTTGCTCACTCCTTTCAAACACTATACCACAGGTTTGAAACGCAGGGATTAATGTTACACATTTGTCCTGGCTTATTAAAAGCAACTTGATTTATATAAGAAAGGTCTGTGCAATTCCCTTTTAAAAAGGGGCTCTCACAGCAGCTACAATTTACAAATCAGCATGCTGAAATTCAAATGAAAGTGTATCGGAAATATAAATAAACGTTTAGGTCATTGCTAAGCATACGACATCCCCTCCCACCATCTTGTCCCCTCCCCCTCTCCTGTACAGACTGACCCTTCGGGCCGTCAGAGGGGAACTGCAGCGGAACGCTCAAGACTCTTCGGCTGTGACCCCGGGTCACAGAAGTGCCACCAGACATGTCACGCTTTATCCCTGATTTCTGGCCATGTGTGACTCTGGCAGAGTGGTATGCCTCTTAAGGAGTGACACTGCATAGCAATCAGCTCAGAGTCTCTCAAAAATATATAATCACATTTGGCTCAGGAAGCAGTGCTGTAAAGGTCCGAGTTAAGATAGTCAGCCATTTATTTTTGTGTTTTTCCAAACACTGAGATGAAATAAAACATTTTCTCAATACAGATTAAAGTGGTGCAAAAATTATCCTTGTGTTCACTGTTTTGCATAAAAAGCTATTTTGCATAAAGAAATAATGAACATGCAGATAAAACGAGTGCACTCAAGCAACGCTTGCCTAACCTCAGGCCACAAACCCTCATGATGAGTGTGCAGTAATAACCAGCTGTAGGACCCTATCCATGCTTTGCCTTTTACTCTATCTCTCTCAAAACTCTATTAATAACCGCTACCATAATGGCTACGGCTCTAAAGCACCTGACAGGCCCCTTCCCCCTTTGTGGCCCCTTAAAGAATGAAACTTACAGAAAGGCTTAGAAAAGCAGCACATGGCAAACGATCAAGTCTGTGATGATGAAGAAGATAATTACCTGGAGTAGAAGATGTTTTGGTTTTGGCCCCCGTTTGCGGTATCCCATCAGCTGCTCCTGCCTCTCTCTGTGAAAACAAAAGATAATTACATTTCCCTGCACCATGTTTACCTTCGATATACTACATCTCATTTGACTGACATGGTTTCACCTTTCCGCATACAAATCTAATTATATCACAAACAGAATGACAGGTTTAACATTTTAGAGTGTTTGTTCATTTTCTTCTACCTATTCAAGGTCAAAAGTAGAATTTAGATTTGGATGACTAATGAATGCCCACATGTGACCCGCTGCAAAGCATTATGGTCCTTATTTGCATAGCTCTCCATGGTAATCTGCCCATTCTATATTCTCATTATCCAGGAGAAATTCAATTAAGGCAACGGCAGGGAAAACCTCTCCTTGTCTTTCAAACATCCTCCCTCCTGCAGCATGCCCTTCCTTCTACATTCAATCTCTAATTAGGGTCATGAGGGATGGAATGGGACAAATACAACATTGTGGAGTACTTCTGGGATACATGCTGCTGTTGAAAACATGCAAACCACCACCCTTGTGCAACACAACGCCTACACCCTGAAATATAGGGTGATGAATATCCAACTAATAACAAACATCTATTGGAACTGTTTTTATAAGGGGAGGGGAGAGGGATGTGGTTATTGTTGTACTGACTAGACCAAGCACTTGAGTTGTCTGTGAAATATTGCTCCCTGATATAAACCTTGACTCATCATTGGCTCATAAATCACCAGCGGTGGGTGAAGGCCGGCAGCACACGGGCTCCACCAGGCATGCGTTAATCCAGTCTATTGTTGGCCTCTTGCTACAGATGTTCAAACCATCAGAGCTGCCAGAAAGTTGCCTCAATAAACAGTCTACATTTTAATGCTATAATGTGTGCGATTTTCAAAAAGCATCCAACGGGATGACCCCTATTCACAGAAGATTTGGCAATTACAGCCTCCCTTGTCGGATCCCCTCCCCCATCCTCTGGGAGCAAAGAGGAATCCACACACACGGCGCAGAGGCAGCACTCCATGACCATCAGCACAGAGCCAGACACACACACACACACACACACACACACACACACACACTCACACAGCCAGGCTGCGGGGGGAATTTGAGAGCGGTACACTGGAAACGCTGGAGAGCACTGCGTGTAAATTAGCCTTTTTAAAAATGAGAATTCCTTTCTTGAGCCATCGTGTCTTTCCCAGTCCCATGAGCGGCCTGGTGGCCTACTGAGGGGGAGTATATCTCTCAGGCCTCATGGGTGCAACAACCCCGACAAGATGTTGTTGTGCACGCGCCACAGGGCCAAAATGACAGCTGCATTTGTATTCATTAACATCTCAACCTCTGAGATTGGCATTGATGTGTTTCTGATTATCTTACAGGCATCTATTAAGCCTCTTGACCTATAGGATTGAAAGCAGGTTGACGATGTATACACCCAAGGTGAGATATTCTGTTTACACAACATTAAATAGCAAAATAAAGGCAGCAGTTGCATCTGAAGCATCAAAGCTAGTGCTTTTAAGGTTTTCTCTTGGGTGGAAAACACTAAATGAAATAAGCCTGCAGAAGTAAAGCACAGCTCAGCCTGATAGCAGATCTCAGCCTGGTATAGTGATGAGAATCCCATCAGGCAGCAGCGTCGTCACAGGAAAACAAAACAAACTGCTGCTCTTGTGTCCGCCACCCTGAATGAAAACAGCTCTGGAGTTCAGCTGCTAATTCCTGCTCAATCTCCAGTTGCAAACTGATAAAACAATTAGGATCAAATCCACGTGGGGAGCATTGCTTTTCCATTTTCATTGCTCCACCATGCACCTTCTGGCAAATGAAAAGGCAACTACTTCAGTTTTCTCTGTGAAACTGGGTCATGGCATGCTGTAGAGCCCTCTGATTCTTGACAAAAATCACGTAATAAGATGATCATTTGTTGCAATGCAAGTCTTTACCCATGAACATTTCCGATCCTCCCATTAAGTATGATTTAGTATATCTCACTACCACCTCCTCAGCCTATTCCCCAGGAGACCGTCATGGGGCAGGAGGAGGAGGAGGAGAAGGGGGATCAGTGCTAGAGTTACTGGAGCGCCCCTCCTCCCATGCCCATATATGGTCATGGCTGAACTGGAGGCTGCGCGGCCTCGTCCGAAGTCCACCTCTCTCACCTGTGTTGAAACGCGACGAGGAGACGAGGGTCCAGAATGTTTTCCTCTGGTTCCCATGTGTTGTATCTGCAGAGAGGAGAGAGCAACTGTCACTGTCTGAGCTGTCACGTGCAGACTTCCTTTTTCTAACTGTCACACAGGCCTTAGCCTCTGTCCATCACACACACTCACACACATATTCATCATTACTGTGAAGTCACTGTATAATGCACAGGTAAGGCAGGCCACCAGTTTAACATAAAATAGTGTTTTTCTGTGTATTATTTGGACTTCGATTTAAAATGTTGCAATTTTTGTTCGGCTTCTCCAAATCACCCTTGAGGACGTCCAACTGCACATCCAAAATGTCAAAGACAAATGTCTAAATGTGCTCTCCGAACGGTCCTCCAGCACCAACATACAGTCGGCCATTTTAGCACCACTGTCTCGTAAATTCGCTGGCAGAGCAGAAATAATTAAAACGGGATTACATGGCTGTGCCTACCCCCTTCCCTCGCATAAATTAGTGAAGGCATCCGCGGATACACTGAAACACATACCGAGCGCGCTCTCCCACACCTACACACACACACACACACACACACACACACACACACACACACACAACACACACACACACACACACACACACCACACACACACACACACACACACACACACACACACACACACACACACACACACACACCACACACACACACACACACACACACACACACACACTGTGCGCGCACACCCTTGATGAATGCCATTTTTAAGTAACAAGACTTGAATTTGTTGCGAAAATGTGCATTTGTCCAATGCAATTGGAGAAAATGTTGCATTCAGACTTACTTTGGAGACCAGCCTCGCCACTTGACCAGGTATTCGATCTTGCCCTGTGATGGTGGAGAATTTTTTTTTTGGTGAGGCTCATGTCAAACGCAAAAATATGTCAGCGTCCTGAGCGCGTTTTGCAAACATGCTCCCTATCTGTTACCTTGCGGATGCGCTTCTTCTCGATGCCCTCCACCGCAAAGACATGCTCTCCGGCGGCAGGGAGCTCCATTCTCGGCTGAATCCGATCGCAGGAGCCGGGGGGAGTAGGTGAAATGTTGGCTAGGCACCGTCGATGTGCCTTCCGCTCGGTGCGTGCTGTGCGCGCTTGGTAGTTTTCCAGTTGTATCCAAATCAGACTGTATTCCCTCCACCTCTCCTCCTCCTCCTCCTCACTCGCTCTCTCTCTCTCTCCCTCCTTTGCACACTCCACAGTCTTGGATATGAGCATACAGATATTCACAGTGCGGCTGCGAGCAGCTCTTTTCGTGCAATAGCTCCAGCTCGGTGCATGACGTCAGGAGGGGGAGGGGGAGAGGGAGACCTTGCACAGAGGTTGGGGGTTGATCCCGTGCGTACTGGACTGCGTGAGGGATATCTGGAAATTCAAATCTATCACTACCTTACTGTTACAGCACGAACGAATAAAATCCACTTGAGCACATTCAATGTTTCTATCGATAGCAAGGCTCCTGAACCCCTCCTCCAACAGCTCATTTACAATTCATTCGAGAAGAAAAAGTTTTATTCAATTATATCGTAGGCCTATGGATGTTGGTAAATAGAAGATACATTTTCAACAGATGCATATACTTCTATTGATATGCACACACTGCTTGGTTATAACTGCATTTCAGAGCAGTAAACTGGACCCGAGGGAGTTGAAAAAAACAATTTTTGTCAACCACCTTCAAACCTCGATCTCTTTTGAAAAACTGTTTTATAAGGACAGTTGTATAACAAAGCATAAACACAACTAGCCCTTTATCTTTCAAAGTAATTGCAATGTGTCAGCAAATCTTGTTTTTTCCCTGAATGTAGGCACTAATGAATAATAAGTTCCCTTTTTTAATTTCCGATCCCCTTAAAGCAGCAGTTGTACATGTGCAGACAGAGGCTCGCACTTCGATCTGCTGACAGCGCCCTGCAAATATAGGTCACACTCACTCTGGTCGTCAAACCAGTGCCATGTCCTCTGGGCTCAACTGCCATTAATTTGACGCACAGCAGAGGGTTGCTGTGCAGCCCTAAGCCTACCTGTGGCAACTTTATAATGGTGTCACAGCTTGTTCCTCTAAAACCAGAACTACAGTCTGTTATCGGTCGTAAAACTGGCTGTCTATCTGCATCTTGACAATTTAAATCCAAAAGCATAAACCACATCACCAGTTAGGATGTACTCTGTGCTGTAAATGTCATCTGCATTAAGTCACCGGATTTATGGGCACCTAATTGGAAACATGAGAGAAAACCCGCGTCTTTGCATCGAATGGGTTTTTTCGTGCGTAATATGACATTCGTGCTCATGATTGTCAATACAAATACGTAATTCGATTGTGTATATACCATTAGTTGCGTTAAAAGAGAAATGGCAAAATCTAAAAGCCCGATGCTTGTCTTGCTCCAAGAGTAATTCAGCACCAGAAGGGTTAAAGCCTCTAAGCAGAGCGGCAGCGGCCAGCCTATTAAATACAGGCACGATATATCTCTGCCCTGCCATATAAGGCAATGGGGAAAAGGCGACGAAATGGGGCATTTTGCACTTAATAATTCTCGAGTTTCAGTCATGAAATGTGTACAAGAGGTGGTTTAGAGTCAAACATTGCAAACATTCTCGATGAAAACTCCGTAGTTTCGCCTTAATCCTGTTTTTTCCCCGTGCCCTTCAGCCGCGGCCAGGGAGCGCATACGCCCTGCTTCCCTAGCAACAGCATGAACGGAGAGAGAGAGAGACGCAGAGACACAGAGAGAGAGAGAGAATTTAAGTTTGTACAAACAAACGAGCTCCTGATTTTAAAATAAATGGCAGCAAGGGGCGACCATGCCGTTTGCTCAAACATTGTTTGTCTTTCAATAGATCTCATCGAATCGAAATGCATATTGAAAAGCTTGGAGATCTGGGAGCCTTTTAGAGCATATTTTGGGATTGGGAGGTATTCACTGTGAGCCCTTGTTTACTCACCAGGTACCCAAAATACAAATTATGTATCATTTAGTGTTTGCACTTACGGGAATGACGCCTAGAGTCTGCGTCAACAGAGATTATCATTTGGAAAACCCTCTGAGTCACCCGGAGTCTCAGATCTGATCACAGCTCGATATAATATAACTATATTTGGTTATTCTTCCCAAAAAAAAATCATATGACTTTATCAGAATGGGCATCAATAACCTGGCAGTCCTCTAAAGTGAACGACAAGGAACCGCAGAATGACTTGTTAATGTACAGCGCTCAGGTTGCACATCAGAAGGTTTACGGAATTAGAAACCATTCGTTCTTTTAAAATATTTTTTTCGTCTATCTGAAATTGGTTTGCTGAGGAGCTGTGCGTGTTCCCCTCTGTGGCAGAGATATCCAAACTGCCCGAAGCACCTTGGTAATTGCTGATCATTTTAGGAAGTGATCTGATCAAATCCCTACAGAGGCATTAAGATGTGTCTTCATCTTCCAAATACATGTGAATATTTTCAGCGTTGACGTCTGTACGCCCTCTCAGGAATGCGCTCAGGTGATATCGTGTCTCCTTTTACAATTGTTCACTTGCGACGATGACATGCAAGAACTTAATTAAAAGCCGCTGACGAAGTCAACAAGAGTTTCGATGTCCGACAGCCAAAAGAAAACGTCAAGGAAATATAAAAACAACACCAAAATAAATGGAATTGAACCCGCAGCTGATCAAAACCCACCGGTGCAAATCAAGAGATTTTTGTTGCACACGCTCCCATTTTATGCAGGTATTGCGTGAACTGTGAAGCAAATGTTCATGTATCTTCTCTCAAAAGTCTCTTTCTGTTACACTTTGTGGATCTTTTTAGGATAGACTTGTTTAATGTCCATGAGTGCTTTAGTAAAAAAAAAAAAAAAAAAACCTTTCAACGTTTATTTTGTCCTTGCTGAGACAGTCAAGGTCATGAAAGCTGTTATCTAAAACATGAGGATAATCTCAGGGTTGGCCAGTCTGTTTTTTATGTCCTGTTTGAATGGGCTTTATTCATACAATATTCATGTGTCCTTTTATTTCAGGAGGTGTCAATGCTTTATATAATTGGGCTTTATATGAAGGAAGAAAGAATATTTTTCTTTTTGGCATGTGAAATAAAGGAAATACTTTAGTACAAATACTTTAGTACAAATACTTTAGTACAAAAACTTTGTCCGTGAGTTTAAAGGAGGTTGTCTGATAGACTCTCCAGAGAAAAGGAGTGGACATGTTGTTCATGTAAGAATGTCTGTGGAGTATATTTATGTGGGTGTAAACGTAGCACCAGGGTCAGGTTAAGCCCTGATCTCTGGTCTGGTCTCAGCAGGAGGCACAGTGACCTCAGCCTTGTGACCTTTTTTCCATTCCAACACCAATTTATTCCGTTTATTGTCCCTATTTTTGCATTTCTGCATGCATACAGCTGGCTATTGCACTACAAGCAGTCCACAAAATGGTGGCTCATGGGGAAGCCAGGAGGCCTCCCCTCCTTGGCACACAACCACCCATGGTGGCAAGAGTGCCAACTGAGGGAATGGAGAGATGAGAGGAGAGGGGGGGGGGGTATAGGGGGGAACCGGGAAAGTGTGATTGATGCAGAGGGCAAGGAGAAGAGAAAGGTGTGGTGGGAATAGGGAAAGAGGGAAAAAAAGAGACAGGAAAGAAAGAAAGAAAGGCCACTTCGTCTGCAATAGCCAAGCATCCGATTCATTCCTCCACAGCGACGAGGAAGAAAAGAGTTGATTGGTTTAAGGGGCAGAATGCAAGGACAGGGTTTGGAGGAGACGAAGGAGGGGGGTACTACAAAAATGTTAAGAGGGCCCTACAGCCATTCTCACGGCGCTCAGCGGGCGGTCATTAAGCTTCACTATCAAACTGGCTGATGTAGCAAGGACATACAGATGAAACATGCACACAATGGCAAGAAGACAGAAGAAGCAAGGTTCACACTGTTACTGAAAACACGACGAGGGGGACTCGCTGACAGAATTACTGAAATAGAAGCTTCTTGGTGTAAATAATGCAGTATGATTACAATGCACATTCAGGCTAATTATGCTGTAACGATATAGCTATCCCTTTCCAGTGCCTGCATGCCTTCTGCTTCAGGTGCTAACACAGAAATCTCACGTTCCCTTTGTCTGCCCCTGACATATGTTTAATTATGATAATTGTAACAAATGAAAGCTATTAGGAAGCCATTCATCTTGGCGCCGCAGATTTTAATGTACTATGAAGATGGGGTAGGGAGGTGTGTGTGTGTGTGAGTGTGTGTGTGTGTGTGTGTGGGGGGGGGGGGGGGGGGGTGGTTTGTGGGGAAGCGGAAATTCCTCCTCCAGTGTCATTGTCACGGCCATTGTTGCACCGAGGCGACAGGTCTGCGAAAGAGGGGTGCTCCTCTGCCAGGGTGGGCTTCCCTTTCCTCCCCCCTCCTCTCCCCCTCTGCGCCCTACCGCCTGCTTGCCTGCAAGGCTGCCGTCGTGTGGGGTTCACCCCCCACCTCCACAACCACCAGCACCAAAATAAGCTTCCCCCATTGATCCCCCTCAACCCAGGAGCCTGAGCAGGAGGTGGGGGAGTGCAGGGAGCCTGGGAGAGAGAGAAGAGGAAGAGGGGGGGGGCCTTCGCAGAAGAGCACCAGGCTTCCAGGGGGGAGGTAGGGGTGAGGGCCAGGATCAGGGGCGGATGAAGGAGGTGGTGCAGTGGAATTCTGGCAGAGTAGCCGACTTGTCGATAGGGTATTGAGCTGCAGAGTGGAGGTTTGAGACCCCTCTGTTCCTGAATGCAGCACGGTGCTATACTGTATGTTGAAATGATTTATTCACTGCCATCAATGATACATACTCTGTGCAGGAAATCATAGCTTGTACACGAAAGCACAATAGTAATCACACAATGGTACGCCTCAGAGAACAATAGCTGGAAAAATCCACTGAATAATTGTGTGGGTTTTTCTAAGGCAGAAGTGATTCCCTCAGCACGGGATGGGGGGCTATTTTCATCGGCGTGGAGACCTCACAGTAGCAGCTCCTCTAAATGTGTCTGTGACCCAGTGTTCAGATTTAGCTCCCTTCAGTCTAATGCCATGCTAATGATGAGTGACGCAGGCCCTTATCCTGAGAGCCCTTTCCTCCATTTCCTCCCCCCTCCTCCCCATCTCCGGGGAACAGCTTATTTGCCTGTTTTTAAATTGCATTTTAATTTACATGTAAGCCTGGAAGCACCATGATGAGGAGCTGCCTTCACTCTTCTTCCCCCTTTTTTTTCACTACTGA